AGGGGAGGACGGTTACACTTTATTTGGTAACTGAAAAATGAAAATCCCATAATTTAGTGCATCTTTGCAGTTAATTAGCATGGAATCGATAAAATGGGAAATAAAGTTTACACCATGGAAAAATTTATTTATTTTTCAAATCACATGGTACACATGAAAATTCGTCGATAAGATTGCAATGGTTTTATCGTGTTTGACATTGAGATCTCATTCTTACCTTTCTCATTCGTATGTTTTCCTACATCAGTAGAAACAGAGTTTTTTAGGCCGAAATCCTTAAGCTGAAACCAGTAGGACTAGCCATATAACATTTCTTAATTATAATGGAGGAAAATAAGAGAAACTATTAAGAGGAAGTTCAATATTGAAATAGAACTTTGTGATAACTCTAAGGAAAATTCATTGTCTATTATTCTTTTCAAACCATATTTTTCATGTTCTTTTTTTCTTTTTGGAAAGCCATAGACAAGCAAGGGGGGGAAACAAAAACAATCATCAAAGACTACCGTACTCGTGGGATACCTTTGACATGGCCACCTCAATGTTACGCAACAACTCACATGCACCCTTTCTCGTCGACCCGCGGAGCAAGCAAACACCAAACCGCAACATCTTATAATCATCTCCCGAACCAACCGACTCGCAGTTCATTAGAAGGTTCTGGACAAACGGAACCATATCCGTCCTTGAGTCACACCGGCGGCAATAAAACTCTGCATCCAAACCAATGCTCCCTCCGACTGTCCCTGCCATGTAAGCTCTCAAGGCACATTCGATGTGGCAGCTGTGTCCACAAGTGAGCCCCTCGACTTTGGCCTCACATGTAACATAACCCCACCCATTTAAACCTCTTTCAATCACTCTACGGCAAAGGATACAACAACAGGCCCGGCAGAAGCCCGGTTCCTCGCAGCAAATATCACATAACATGACTTGTGGAACAGGCTCATCTCGTGTATTTAAGCTGCTGCAAAATTTGTTGCCAGATTTGCAACGCGGTTCACCATTGTCTTCAGTGATCTCAACTGGAGGTGTAAGCATCTCCTTGAAACCTACAAAATGAAACAAATGATGAAGTTGCGGGAGAACAGCCTTTAGTTGAAGTTGGAATAGAAGGATGTTCGACTGTGTGGAATGATTTTTATAATGCCTTTGTCAAACATGAGAGGGATTGAAGTATTCAGAAGTGATACACTCGGTCAAATTCAAACCACTTGTTTGGCAACTCAGATCAATAAAAACCTCAATTTTCAAATTATCACTAGATGATTTGAATCCCATCCTAAACCTAGTTATATGAAATTCATCGTAACTATTTTATACATTACAAATATATATAGAATGCACACTGAACTATTTCCTCTCTCACATACACTAGGCACAATCCACAAAACTACATTTCATACACTTACACATTTGACAGTGTCTGGGATTCTAAGTATACCTATCTATATATAAAGAAAAAATGGTTAATTTGCTAAATAAACCTTAATCTTTTTGCGTTTGGCAATTTTATCTCAATCTTTGGGTAATTGCAATATAATCTCGACCTCAATTTACTTATTACAAGTCGAACCTAAAACCGGTTGGACCTTCAAAAAGCTGGTCGATTTGAAGGCGGTTCGAACAGATCGGAGCTCATATTTACCGGTTCACTCCAGATCTAGGAGGAGACTCATCACTGGTAGCTTACATTGACGTGGAATTTTCGGCTTTGTTCGTGGATATACATTAAATACGTGGAAACTGTCAACTTGCTCTACGTGGTGGCATAAAAGCCCGTGTCAATGGAAGACTTGGACACAAAATCGATCCACAAATCCCTAAAATCAATCACTCTGCACCCAAATTTGCAATAAGTAAATTGAGGTCGAGATTATATTGCAATTACCCAAAGATTGGGATAAAATTACCAAACACAAAAAGGTTAAGGTTTATTTAGCAATTAATCCAAGAAAAAATAATAATAAACCCACATGAGAGAAACCTATGAGATAGAATAATATAATGATCTACTATTTGGACATTTATGCCGTTTTCCAACATGAAATAAAGCACAGGTAGTTACAATATGATTTCAAATATACGTTGATTTTGCTGATTATTTTGTCTAGAGTTTGAAGTGAGCTTGATATGATAAACTTAAGAATTAAAAAGATTTACCTAATGTATCTTATGATTCCATATCATCATGGCCATTACTTAACAACAGGTGACACTTTTCAATTGAAATAGTGTATGGCTAAAACGAAGGTTAACTGGACCATAAGCTCACATGACATAAAATCAATTTAAGTAATCATACCAACACATGCACAAACCAAAATTGATATAATAGGTTCACGACATTAAACTATTCAACACCTTTTAGCGTTATAGATTATTCATATCTGGTTAAGCATAATTTGCTCTGTACAAGGAACTAGCCATCTCAAATCCTCTAGAAACACAGAGGCACAAAGGTGCTGAATTTGTTACTGCAGTTTATTGAGAGAGAGAGAGAGAGAGAGAGTTAGGACCAGTTCATTAAACACAAAGTAACCTTAAAAAAGATAACTAACCTTTCTTCAGTGACCTTGAAGGGACCTTCCAACTAAAAGAAGCAAAAAAATGGACAATATCTGTATCAGGGAATTTCTTCCGGACAAATTGTTCTAGTGAGAGTCTGCTAGCGAAACATTTTTTAGGCCCAGGCTGGTGCATACGGCGGGGCAGGTACAGATATCTATCCAAAAAGAAGCCAGAATTAGCAATTCGCCTCCCTACTTTCCAACTCCACTTATCACCAGGATTAGGAAAATCCTCGGGAGCATAAGGGAGGCCTTCACCCGAATCATTAGCAGAAACAGGATACAGAGTGCCATTTTCATGGAACCCGCATGGACTGGCTCTAGTTCCTCGTGGAACTACAGCATCAATGTCCATGGGATCCTTTTGTGACTTGGAATCCATCATGTTCTGCATGACATGTAACACCCGTCAAATGATTTTTGGAAAAAATCGAGTACTTTCAAAAATATGATCTGTCGGCCATTCGTGTAGAGAAATTCAAAATTTCAGAAGGGTATATGATATCACATACATTGTCAGTCAATCTTAGTATCCAACAAAAACACACCTTTCTAGCTCCTTATCTGAAACAAACAAAAATTTACTACAATTAAAGTAGTTCATGTTATTATGTTCTTTGAATTTAAGTGTAACAATAGACATGCAAGTGCTCACTATAACTATTCTCAATGAAGAATTACCCAATCGATTTACAAACAGCGGAAAAGGTGTATGTCCAATTAGACCCAAATTATACATTTGATCCTTCAACACTATATCCATATTTTTCAGGGTTACCTGTAACAAGAGCAGTTTACCTGACCTTATTCAATAAGGTACCTGTAAATCTAAATTTTAAAACAAAATGTTTCAAAAATGGAGTTTAATATAAGGACTTCAGGAATATCTCAATAATAAATCTTCACGTAGACTGACATGTGCAACAATACAATTCATTTGGTATAATCAAATTGCACATCTAGGAGTATGATGGTAAGTTTATATCAATGGATGTGTACTTATAAAGTGAGATTTTGAAAGTTCGGTACAAACAGATGAGTAACTAGGAAGTGTAAATTGAGAGACTAAAAGTGCTTTTGTCTCTGAAGTTGATTAACTTATAACCGACATATAATTTACAAATGTGTTCCCTATCGCATAATGCAAGTGAATTCTGGAGGTCAATTATGCATTTCACCCCCACATTATGCAAATAACAACAACATGCTTGAATGACTGAACTGAGAAAAACGAAACAAAATTATTTGAAAAGATTAAGAAATTACGGCATTGGGAAGATTTCAAGAACAGACACACCACAGTTCACACATGCATATCGCACTAAAGTACGTAGAGAATTCAGACAACAAGATGCAACCAAACCAAAAGTGATCGTGTAAAAATAGAACATACATAACAAAAACACATTAATATGTTTCATAGTAAACCCAACAAAACTCATAGTGGACTAATCGTGACAAGAAAAGGCAAATGTAATTTCGTCAGCAAACACAAACATCCAACACTCCCACATCCGTATTGAGCAATAACGAGCTCAAACTCTGCACATAAACTGATCAATCCTAAGCTAAACTTGACACAACAAAAAATTAGACTAGGTTAGACAAGTCACAAGTGAACTTAAATCTTGTTTATACCAATCAGCCAGTTCTACATTTACAAATAAATAAATAAAATAAAAATTCCCAATCGATTTACTCAGAAGAGTAGGTATAGCCGGACGAAAAAAACACGAAAAAACGAAAAAAAAAA